CACAGTAGGGATCTCCGGGCTTATTCCACAGAGAGGGTCCTGATGTTGGCAGGTCGGCTCTAGTGGATAAAGATTTGCTGCACCTCTTGATGCAACGCGTCCAAAACATTCAGACCACATGCTGGCTTCTCACAGCGCGTCGAGGCTGGTTCTATTAGCAGCTGGCAGCACAGCGGGACACAATTACAGCATTAATACAATCCAGTTAATGTAATGCACATCGTTATGCAATCCAGCGCAACGGCACCGCAACAGTTACTTCAGCCGCCAGGCTCGTCGTGGTGGATCTTCTCGGTGTCAGAAAAAGAAGCCTTGTGCTAACAAAGATGCCATTTATTTTTAAATATTGGTACAAACTCAACTTAGATTGCACAAGTCTCAGGCAGCTGCTACGTTGAAAGCAATGAAATGAAAAGCAAAATTAGAAAAAATAAATAAATATGCACCAGAAGGGTCATTTTCGACCCAATTTCAGGGCACCGCTTAAACTGTGGAGGTGCTTTGCTTGTATCCTTTAGATCCAACTCTCTCTAACAAAATCATTCACAGCTCCTGTGACTGTCCAGCAGCCTTTTATCGAGTCTTTGTTCCACCGCCGGAAATTAAGGCCACTTAACGGAGACAGCAGCTGTGGACACTCAGTTCTTGAGAGTCTGCTTTGAAAGAAATTTCAACCTGCATCGTTTCAATAGGCCCCAGCGCGGCCTTTGAAGGGCAGGGTGCTGCGTTCAATTATCTATTCTTGTGGGGAAATGGCTTTTCATTTGGGTGATATTTAGCTGCGTGTGTGTAATCACGCTCCAATAAGCAGCTCAGTCTGCAGTTCATCTCTGGTTGGATAGTCGAGAAGCACATGGGGACAAGGAGATGATATCCCCTGTTCATTATTGTGTGTGTGTGTGTGTGTGTGTGTGTGTAGGAGTGATGATGACGACTGTGCTCTGTGATGCGATGCCAGCTGGCCGAAACCTTCCTCTTCCTGGGCACAGGAGTCCAACGACGGATTTCACATAAAAGGAATTTCCTGATTTTGACTGTAAAGAAAGCCAAATAAGATGCTTTTGTTTTTTCTAATGCCAGTTATTATTAAATTCAGTTATTTTGGAACGGGCCACGTTGTCTCTGCACCTCATTTGTCTTTCTTCTAAAAAAAAAAATCTTACAGATTCTACACCAAGTAGCTTTCCGTTCTCACAAAGCCCTTATACAGTTTACAGGAAACATTTGGGTATTCTTCTTAGTATTTTTTTAAACAGTACGTTTTACTGTTTTCAAAAGCAAACTGTTTCATTGCCGGTGTTATTATTCTTATTCCACCAGAGCCACAGTGCAACTAAATGGCAAACCCCAGGTGAGGATCTGGATGTGTAAGCAATTATTGCTCAAAATGATTTTCTGGGGGCGGATTTATCTCCAGTGTGCAACCGAGAGAAGATTATGAAACCCGGCCGGCGCACAATAAAGCCCTTATTACACAAGCAATGAATTTCATCAAGGAGCAGAGCAGGAGACCGTCCATCCATAGAGTCATAGGGGGGCCACTTGGCGTTGAGCTGCTGCTGAATACAGAGCAGCAGCCGAGGAAGCCTCCACACTTCCAGGCAAAGAATATTCATTACAGCCACAAACCTCCAAGTCAGCAGAACGAGAGAGCAGGATCTCCAGCCGCTCCGATTTCATGCACCAAGCCGCAACCCCCCATCCCCTCCCTCCTCCTCCTCCTCCTCCTAGCTCCCCTCCTTTGTTTTCCATTGTTCCTGCAGTGGCAATCCCACCCAGGAAGATGAACCTCTCCTTCTTAAGATGCCAAGAGGAGGAAGAGGACATTTTATCACACGACATTAGCTCTTTTTGCCAGAGCGAACACGCCCTTAATGTGGTTTCATCCGCGAGGAAAAATGCTCCTGTGTGTCTATAATATGAACCTGTGTTACAATAGGAGCGCCCCCCTCCTCCTGCTCAAGGCGGAGTGCTCTGCAGGTCAAGGTACATAATGATGCAGAGATTCAACAGTCCAATTATTTTCCCTGCAACACACATTGTTCTGTTCGTTTTTTAATCTTGTTCAAAAATCCTGAAGCTAATCAAGACACGACAATATGACTAATAGGAGGGAAGCAAGGCAAAAAGAATTGTACCCGACAGGCCGCCTACATGTTCAGACTCTGTGTCTGCACACTGACGCCTCATGAAGAACGTGTTTCTGTCCTTGGCGATCGCCTCAGAGGTCAGAGCTCATGTGTTGTCGTGCCCGGCAGGAGATACGACAAAATGCATTTAATGCCCCGAAAACCAGAAACAAAAAGATTGTAATCCTGACGTAATCTAAAAACATAACTGCAAATCCATTGCTTTCCTTGTTTCAATAGAATAATGCATCTAATGGTGACAAGAGCCGCAGTTTGCAGTGAATGCAACATGAGAGATTACTGAGATTCAGAATACTTAAATAAATAAATAAAATGAATAAATGTGGTGGTGGAGGGTCAGCAGAGAGGGGGAGACGTGATATTGAAACCTGGCTAACATCGCCTCCTCTCCAATGACCAGATACATAAACACTCAAACATGCACACACACACACACACACACACACACACACACACGTACACACTGGTTGCGGTGTGAAACATGTGCGAGCTGGTGGCGAGGAGGGAAAACGAGGTGATGATTACAAAAGAAACCCCACGATAATAAGAGAGCAGAGAATGGTTTTGTATTAAAAACCAAAGAAGATGCTCCAGACGTTTGCACACACACACACACGGCCCGAGACAACTAAAGGAAAGGAGAAGGAGGGACGTTGGGACACAACAAAGAGAAGATCGGGTTACATAAATTAGGGGGGAATCAATAATGAAATCATGAATCATGGAGGAGGAGACGCTCAATCAGACTATAGGATGATCTCTTTTCAAAAACACTTAAAAAACATCAGTAATAACCGCAAGAGCACTCATAGCTCACACGAGGGCCATTTCTATGGCTCTCCTGAAGATATGCAAATTGTTATTAATGAACATTTTGTCCTGTATATGTTATACACGGTGTGCTTTATCAAGAACGCCCAAATAAGTCAATGATGAAATGATTTGAATGTTTCTCACAGAAAGCAGTGCAGCCATGTAAACGACACAAATGGCAAAATGAACAGAGAAAATACTCAAAATGATCGAGAAAAGGACGGAAAATAAAACCATTGCACTACACATGCGCCATGCATTAAAACATGTGGAAAATTCAATGATTACCCAAACATCGATACAGCATCAGTGTACATTATGAAAGTAAATAAATTACAGACAGGAAATGGCGGATGATGAATCCTCGGGGGGGCGAACGTAACCTTGCACTCCAAACCGTCAATAGTCCCCCGACAGTGAAGCTCATGTTCGCTCCCTCTCCAGGAAGCGCATTAGACACGGATGATATCCTGAGCGCAGGCCTTCAATCCAGCCCAACAACATTAATCTCTGAATGATCTTGCAAAGGAAAGGAGAGAGAGGTTGAGTGAGTGTGCGAGTGTGTGTGTGTGTGTGTGTGTGTGTGTGTGTGTGTGTGTGTGTGTGTGTGTTTAGGGGAGACCAGAATGACATGACAGACAAAATAATGTAATCTTTTATAATAGGTTCAGGGACGCTGAAAGGATGAAAAGTGGACGTTTTTTTGGAGGCCCCTCTTTAAGGATTCAAACATATTGCTGGAATCTTTGAGTGTTTCCTTCCATTGTACGACTGAGACCTCAAACTGAAATCTAGTGGCTTAAAGACGTAACTTTATTACAAAAAAACATTTTCCACAGTAGAAAATGTTTGCAGAGCACTGATAGAGCCGAAAACGACGACGATGTCATTCGTACTTTTTTACCAGTTGATATCATACCAGGAGATCCACCGATTCTAAAACCTGCTCCATCACTCCCGATCGAGGCAGTGATGGAGCACCGAGCTTTCGGTTGAACTTTAAACACCATCGTGAGCAGATAGAAACCCATCTGGTTTTAACGGGAACCAGAAGACTCGAGACACCAGCGGCATCAGCATAACAATTTCCCAAATATGAACGAAGGAAATGCAAAAAACCTTTAGCGCATTAGACGATGTTTTGACTCCAAAGGCTGCATACTTGGGAATATAATGCCCCCACCCCCTCCCCCCCACAGTACCATTGAGCCTTCCTACTTTTCTCCGGGGGGACCTGGAGAAGCGAGGGGAGTCTGGAGGACGGCAGCAGGCATTAATTCAAAGAGAGCATAATGAATGCTAAAGTGTTTTGGTATTACTTTGCTTCTCAACCACTAAAGGGATTAAGGGCCCGATCGAGGCTGCAGTGTCGGTGATAGGAAGAAAAAAGGGAGGAAAAAAAGACAAGTGAGTCATACGTTCTAATCCCTTCCGCAGACATCTAGCATCCTCCTCCGCTTGACACGTCCTCCTCGGAGACGTAAGGAGCTTAGATGATGCAGCAGTTTGGTTTTCTATCGAAAAAATTAAAAACTGCTCCTGCTCGCAGCCTGTCTGGTTATTTTGACCTGAATACTAACTTTTGGTTGAGGCTGTCATGTACAGAGCGTAACATACAGAAGAGTCTGTTACCATACGGCACCGTCGGTTAGAGATTAAGTGCCTTTATTTGTCAGGCATTTCATTTCCTTAATATGAAAGAAAAAGTAAATTCCTTTTTTCTCAATTAACTTTTCCTGAACAAATATATTAGAATTAAAACAATTGATGACTTATCAATATATTTGTGTACTGCTGCTTTTCTTTAGCTTATTTGATCAGTTTGGATTATTAATAAACCCTTTTGGGGCAAATTAAAAAAGACAATGAAGGCTACATAGATTTCTTTAAATACCTTCATTGTCCCCTTTCACTGGAAATGTTGAAAGACATGAACGAACCAGAACCGCGAACCAACGATCGGCGGCATTATTATATATCAACGCTCCAAAAATGCAACAGGCCTTTTTGTAAAGAACTATCATGAAAACAAATCACTACGTTCATTGTGATTTATTGTCCCATTATTCCACATCGCTGACCGTCTTTGAATCAGTCCCCCTTGAATGTGTGTAACATCGATGTTCATACAATGACACCCAGTGGTCATTAAAAGTAAGGAATTCTGTACACTTAAGTAGAATAGTTACACAAGCGCCCACGCTCAATCTTGTGATCAATGAAAAACTGGTTCCCTCGTATAGAAACAATACTTAGGACAACTTGTCCCACACACACTTCCTGTTTTGCTCCAATATCGTTTGCAACACGTAAAAAAAATTAAAAAAAATTCCTCTTAATATCACGCTTCTCAAATAAGTCAGATCTGCTTTGGATAAAAGTTTAATTCACAAAAATACATTGTACTAAAATGTACTTTAATAATCCATAAAAGCTGGAACATCATTGACAGAAAAACACAAGAAGCATTATTAGAGTTGGTTTAGTATAATATATTTCAGCTTCGAGAGACATAGAAATCAATCCTTAATTTTCCCCATATTTCTTCTATAAAAGACCCATTTTTCTGAAGCATTAATATGCAAAAAAATGGCATTAGAATATATTATGGGAGCTATGAAACCCCAGTGACTGAGTATAAAATTAAGTCACATCAGAGAGAGATATTCGCAGAAGAGAAGTCCATGGACAATAGGGCGAACAAAGAAACAAATACGTAATAAAAATAATAACACATATCATCGACCTTTATCTATCATCACTGACATGACAGGCATGGAGAATAGGTGTATGGCTATAAAAGAATTCTAACTTTTCCACTTGAAAACACCTACACTTAATAACTGACGCATTTTTTCATGCTTGTTTTTGAAGAATATTTATAATCATACAACTAAAAATAGGTCAACTTCCAAGTCTTTCAAATACAATATTGATAATGAAAAGAAAAATACTGAATCCAAGTTCTAACTTTGTTTTCCTTCTTTTTAACGCTGTTATATTCTTTGTTAATCTGTCAAAAAAAATGTAAGTAGAGGAAAGGGGGGGCTGTCTCTGGCCGTGTAGCTGGCTCATGGACACTTTTTTTTTTATTAATCTTCAGAGGCTTTTATTATCTTCGTCTTAAGTTTGTGATGTTTGTTGGTGCAGAAAAATGGAGACTGTCCGTTCAGGGTTCACATTGAAACTGAGACACAGAGGAAGGTCCTCAGAGGCGAGAGACCAGTCTTCCCTCGCTCTTACTGTCTTTTCTTTCTTTCTTTCTTTCTCTTTACTCTCTCCATCTCTCTCTCTGGTGTCGATCATCCTCGTCTTTGATAGGAGCAGTTCAGTCAGCTGATTCACCGTTTATGGCTGATGGAGGGAGGAAGGGAGGGAGGGAGGAAGGGGGAGTGGGTGGGCGGGGCTGTTGGAATGCTGGCACTTCCAATCAGGGCAACAGTTCTTCATTACAGCATTTCTGCAAGACAGCACAATGGCAAGTTCAACATTTCATAGCCTGACCAGGATTTCCAAAGCACCACCTACGAGCTGAGAGTGGCCTCTAGTGGCCGGCTGAGGGCATTACACCAGGAGGAGGAAAAAACAGAAAATCTACATCAAGTCATGTTGATTTCATTTACAAAGTCTAGTATCACAATTCTGTCTCTGGGGTTTACAACCTGCACACAACACCCGCTGTCTATTGATCCTTGATTAGGATCAGGAAATACTCTCCATAATAAGGAAACCTAAATACAGGAGGAGGCAATTGGTCTCTAGAATAAACCACATTGACCCTACAGGACGATGAACGGAAGAGATCGGTGCAATGGGGTTAGTGACCTTTGACCACCAAACATTAATCCGCACGTCCATGAACCCAAATGAGACTTTTTTTTTTTTCAATTTAAGAGAAATTCCCTCCATCTGTGCCAGAGATATCATGATCACAGGAATGGACCGTATAATGCAGCCTGAAGGATCCGTCGACTGCTTTTTCAACAGAAGACAGATGTTCTGGGTACAATATAATTCAAATCCAACGTTCCCAGGGCCGTGCCATTATGCATGCTACTGCGGCTAACTGCCGCGACCATCTGGAGCCGCTGAATAGAATGCGGGCATCACCGATGTCATTGGTTTCACCTGAGCTGACCGCCTGCTATGAGAAGGTGCTCGTTGCGTCGCCCGTTAAGAGAGTTACACACCAAACTCACAGTTGGAGTAGCATTCAGTCCATGAACTAAAATTGCAAAGTTGCGGATTGAGGTGATTAAACAACATGTGGGCAAATCACAGTGCGCGGCGAACACACGGCCAGCTGCTGCTACCCGAGCTACGAGGAGTCTGAGGAGGCTTCGCTCATATACATTACACCAATCGGTGAGGAGTGAACTGCTCCTTTGACTCCCCATGTACAGCGTGTCCTACAAAATTAGTTTTAAAAATGTCCGCAAAACTGCAAATACGTCTGAAGCTCTACAATCAATGAATGCAGACATATCTGGTTTCATTCTGTGCCGGTGAAGACAGCGACCACTAGAAGCCCGAGAGCTCATGAGGTCAGCAAAGCGAAAAATGCCCACGTTGTACAAAGTGAAATGTCCCATTAACTCTTTCGCCCTCGTTCCTGTTCGAGGCTGGCACTGTCCCCCCCCCCTTCACACACTGGCCGCAAGCCCAATGAACCAATGCTAATGGGATTACAGCCCCACTGTTCCACTGCTCACGGCACACAGGCTCATACACTGAGAGACGGGGGGGCAGACACCGCCCCGGGGCCTGCTGACAGAGGTCCCAGTCTCACACACTGGACCTCTAACTGACCAACACAGATGGATTCTGATGGGCAGCGCGGTGGGCGGGTTAGTGACCCCCCCGCCCGCCCCCCAATGTCAGTGGGGCCGTCTGCTTTTACTAATCCGTCTTATCACAGTTCCATTCCCACAAAGACACAGTCTGGTTTACTATGAGTACAAAACACAAGTGCATGCTGGGGCTTTGTGAGCGCACTAAAGAGAACCAGAGGGAAACAACTGTTAACAGAATGTAGTGATGAGGATTGGGCGATTATAGAAATGTTATTGGAGTGTTCGCCCAGATTAACAAACTAGAGGATCCCGCAGAATCAACTAACAGGGGCTCTCTGCGTGTGGAGGCCGCACGCCAAATGTCCAGAGCTTGGTTCAGCTCCGCTCTACAAGTTCCGGTTTCTCTTTTTGGTTCCACGGGACAGACTGAAAACGCGTCTCCGTACTTTTGACCAAGTGAAGACGTTCCGCCGTTTAGCATCCAGCAAGTGTCCCGATGACGACAGACAGACAAATAGCTCCTTTATTTCCTTTAACAGCGATCTAATCAAAGTATCGCCAGCGTCGCCATGACGACCCAGTGACAATTACGACCAATTACGTCTCCACTAAAGAAAGAGGTTCTATCTGCAGTAACTTTCCATTGACAATCTGACGATCACGCCGCTTGCAGGAAAAGCTTAAACTGTCCATCCAGGTCTATTTATTCCCCATCCAACCACATCCTTCACTTTGACCTCGTAAATCGAGGCGCCACCATGCGAATCCCTTCGAGGCGACGCGGGCCGGCTCTCTGAGAGTGGCCCCCCGCGGAACAATTCTCTCCACGCAAAGTGGCCCCTTCAGGCAGACACCTTCCACGTTTGGAAACCCTGAGGATCAGCGTCGTGATCTCCATGTGAGGCTTCGGCCGGGTCATGAGATCTCACAAGCACTGCTCGACTGACAACCTAAAACGCATCTTTCAGAAAGGGAAACTTTCCAGATCAGTGTGGAAACATTCTTAAGGGGACTTTTCAAGTCGGCAAGCTGTGGGTTGAATTCACTCCAGTGGGGTTTTTGGTTAATGTGAACGGAAAACTGCTCGCCCGATTTCCATAAAACTTGAAAGGTGGAGGCGTGCAGCACGGGCCAGGTAGACGTCAGGAACACCTCAGCGAATACACCTCAAGTTTGTGAATGCTCCAGAAAGTAATAATCATGTTGGATTTAAAGACAAAAAGGTTTTTTCTGACATGATAGAAGCTTGTTTAGCTACATTTAAATGCATGTTTAGGACAATTGTAGAAAAACTGCATTACAATTACAGCAGAGAAAAAAAGGAATGAGATCTTTCCAAAAAGGATCAGTGCGATACGCACACAAGGCGCTCATGGACTGTCAAGCTGCAAAGCATCCCCTACACGGACGAAGAGGGATACATTTCATTTCCGATAAGGCCAATCTAAAACTAATCTGTCTAGAAGGCTCGACGGGAATATGTCGTTTTTCATACTTCCTCATCACTAGTAACAGGCGGAACTGAAACACTGAAAAATAGAAGCAATTCTACATTTTCCTGCAGTCTGCTGAGCTTCATGTTTAAATCCAACCAGCACACACAGACTCGTTCATCCAACACCAAAAAAGGCGTAAAACAAAATGCTAATGAAAGCACTTTAAACTTGTGGGAAATGACTCCAAGGACGTCAGCCCGCCCCGAAACTTTAACTGGATCTGGATTAAAGAAATGCCTTTCGATTCCACAGGATGACAACTGCCGACATTTTTAGGAAGTGACAAGTAGTGTCCCACACATACCAGCTATAAAAAAAAATGAGTCACTGGAAAAGTTCCTCTATGAACAAGAACGACACGTTAATCCAAGAATAGACAAGGATGACAATGTTACACCCAATATATGGCTTATGACTGACACAAAAACACAGAACGGTCTGCCGCCCAATTTCCTTTAATTGTGTAAATAAGAGAAATATTCTCCTCTTGTTCCAACATTAGTAATGTAGAAAAACGTATTGTATTATGAATGAAGAGATACAGGAGATGAAGCAGCACCGCCGTGTCTTTGAATGATTTAAGTTCCTCAGAAGGTTTATAGTACCTAGTAACCTACTTTTGCAACCAAAAAAGAAGCAACACGTAGCCTAAAAGGAACAATAAGCGTTGATGACATTGTTGTATCAGGCTATACTGATTAATTTAACTTCTCTACAGGCAATGAAACCCATAATAATTAACTACTGATTTACTACTACCGAACTACTACCGATGTCCGCAGCATCATTCAAGACGACACAGAAAGGTCGACGCTATTATGCAAGACTAATTAACCCGACAGCCTGCCTACGCATCATGACCTCATGAATACACACAAACACACACCTGGCTCAGAGCTGCTGCAGGGGCTGGAGGGGGTCTTTAGAGCACGACACAGTTGGATTTCTTTTTCGCCTTCTTCTTTTCCACTGGCGTTTTTCTATTTATCTGTCTGACCAGGTCGTAGAAGATCTAGAAATGACGTGACAAACAAAGAGAAAACGGTCAGTGATTAAACCTAATTTAATGTAGTGATAAAATCTCTGTAAAAACAGCAGCATTCTCCCACACTGTGGGAACGTCAAGCAATCGCCTGAGGGCTTTTTGCAGTTTACACACATTAAGTTTAATGGAAATAGCACCGAACAGCAGGTATAGTCTTGAGTCTTTACGTACAAAATCAATCTCTGATGAGGACCATTGCACAATCCGGTCAGCATCTAAATACTTCCCTGGGAGATGAAAGCAATATAAAAGGCGGGTCTTTGGAGGCCTCGTCGTTTAAAACACACGCAGGATCAAACAGTGGTTTGTTTCCGTGCAAACTCACATCGAGGACGTTGATCTTTGACTTTGCAGAGGACTCTAAAAAGGCACAGTGGTTCCACTGTCTGGCCAAGTTCTGGCCCTGCTCCTTCCCCACCACACGCTCGTCCTCCAAGTCGCACTTGTTCCCCACCAGGATCATCGGCACCTGGGGACCAAAGTAGGGAAAATATTAATTGAGTTTAGGTCATCAAAAAGTAAGCTAATTTAAGATAATGCTAAACAGCTCAAATAAATCAAAAACCACGCAAAAGGAAAATGATAAGCTTTGAGAGGCCCCTTGTTGCTAATCGGCTTATGCGATAAATAAATGTCTCCACTTAAAAGAAGTAAATCGGCCCCATTAGGCACAGCGTTTCAACAGACATTTAATGGGTCCACTGGTGAGCGTCCAGTGCCAACAACGCAGGCCTTTGCGCCTGGGAGGTGGTGAGTTTTAGCAGCACAATATCGGTTAACAAAAGCTCAATAGGCATCCTCACGGTGAAAGAAGGGAGAGGTTTATTAATAGCCAAGTAGCCAATCAATTTAAATTTGAAGCCTGGATTAAAAAAGTCAAAGACAAGTCAATCCATCCCCGTGGGACTGCAAAAAGAAAACATTTTTTTAGGTTACACAACATTGACAAAAGAGATTCAACAATCATTATGCGGTTTCTCTCGGCCTCGTTTCCGCACAGAAAGGAAAGACTGAAGTGAGAAAACAACCACAGACATGAAGTGCATCTGGGATTTCTTTCGGAATCTCCAAAACACTTAACACCTCCTTTTGGCCCTTAAATCAGATGTTTTAACCAAGGTCAAAAAAAAAAAAAAAAAAGAGGGAGACAATAATCTGGGCAAAACTTCAGTCTCAAATGTCAGTCGGGGTGTCGGGATGAGTCTCATCCTGCCTGCTGTTTCCTGACCGTCTATCTAGGGAGCGCTCCGGCCCGGAGGAAGTCATGGCGGCCCCGCCCAGCCGGGATAAAATCGCTTTCCTTCCTGAATGTCATCCAACATTTCAGCCGGATTCCACGCTCCGGCTGCACATGATAGTGGGAGACTGTATGTACGCGCGATTGCAATTGTGTCTGTGGCTTGTATTCATTCTTTCTTTCTTTCTTTCTTTCGTTACTATACCAACCACTGTAAAGACCTTAGTCTCAGATTTCCATTGGTTCGCAGGATATTTTCTTAGTTTGTATTGGGGTTAATACCCGTTACATGAGACGTTATCAAGGAAAAAGTTCAGCACAACAGGCGCCAATAACATATCAGCTGGGGGAATCTATTTGTGGTGTAAATCCATGCATGGGAAAGGCCGCCTTTGCTCCCTTCTGGTTCAGAAACTGCTCCCAAATATTTGACGATCTGGAAGAACTGGATTTTTGTAGGCAACGTGGTAGCACCCCGACATGAGCCAACTCGCTCACACTTCAGACCATCTCCCAGGTCTACTGCTCAGAGGTGGTTTGACAGCAGTATGGCCACGCTCAACCACAAAATGTAACACTTTTGAAGGCATAGTACGAGTACTCCAGTCTCGCCCCGCTCTCTCTGGGCTGCGGGGCAGACGACAGGAAACCGGGATGTTTGGATTAACCCCGTGGAGGTTGCTGCTTGGATGTTTGATATCCAAACAAGACCTCGCACTGGACTGCTGAACGGCGTTTCTCCCGGGGGGTCCTGGGAGAACCCGTGGTATGCCCTCATTACACAAACTCTGAGCCCAGCAGGGATGAAAAAGGATGCAGAGAAAAAGGGGATGGCAGGATGGAGGTATGCAGGGAAGAAGAAAAAAAAAAATGTTCCGTGTCAGCAGCACACGAGGCAGCATTTGCCTAGCGGAGGAATCCACGCAGCCCACAGAGAGTCTGTTCAGACGCTGTTAACATGCCACAGACAGGTCCTGTCCCGCCCACGTTGGTATGAATGGGTTGTGGGGAACCCAGAACAGGGGGAGTATAGAGCAGTTCAAATTAATGCAGCCAGTCGTTGCATAGGCAGCGGTGAGTCACAAGCACAGAGTCAGGCATTAGTGCGGTTAGTCAGATGAGCAGAGAAGGAGATGGGCCCCGAGAAGTCATGAGACCACTCTTACGAAAGAATTGTGGAAGGAAGGAAGTTCATTTAGTGGGGACTGCTCGCTCGCTCGCTTTATACTTCGCTCTTAAGGGAGATGGAAGTTCAGCCCTACTGTGATCAATGTATCGTCATTGAAAGGCTTGTTAATTGAGCCTCGCAACAGGAAGTGCGTCAGTTCATTTCGCCAGCTTTGCAGTAAATGGTGCGTGGAGGAGTTGGAATGAGAACAGCTGCAGCAGCAACTAGAATGTCTGCTTTAGCAATAGCATGAAAGCTTTCTCCTAATAAGAAAACAGTTTTCATGGAAGAGGGGAAAAAGAAAAAAAGTTATGCATTTCCTTTGGTCGTGTATTCCTGCAAAGGGAGAGGAGAGATAAACAGATGTCCTCGACCTTCATTAGGTGAAGGTATAAATCATCAGCGGACTGATTGCTGCCATAATGGCTCCCGTGTTTAGATAAGCAGAGTGGGGAAAATATTCAGAGGGAACACAAAGCAGAAAAGGCCGTCAAGGCTGTTTTCTTACGAGATCAGGAGCCGCTGATCCTGCAATCCATCTGTTAGCCCGAGGGCTAACCTCAGTTCCTCAACCACATGGCATAATGATGTACCACAGCGGCACAACCCAGTGTGTTTTCGATGGGCTGAGGCTTTCCTCGCCCCTCACCACGGACAGTCTAAATCACACAAACACAGTGCCAGGCCACAAGGAAGGCCACAGCGGAGAGGAGGTACGAGCAACAAGCATACTGCACTAGATATGGAGGAAGGGGAGCAGGGGAAGGACTAACAGAGAATAGAGGGGTGTAAAACATCAGCGCCAGGCTGCAGAGATGTTTGAGAGGGAGAGAGCGAGGGATGGAAAGAGGGAGAGAGAGAGAGAGAGAGATTGAAGGTTATGGTTACACTCATTCCCTCCAGAGATCACCAAAAAAGGGCATCAGAGATCCTGCTGACGCACTATCTGGCCCATCAGAGCGCGGACGGCCCCACAATTCAAGAGATTCAGTAAAACAGAAACGTGCTTCGAACTAACAGCACACCAGGCAAATAATGACATGACACAGACTCCGTAATTCCTCCGCAGCAAAGCCAAGCTGACGGAGAGACTCGTTAAGGAACACCAAATCAAATAAATATTAGGTCAGATACTAGGTTAAGGGTTCAACGTGAGCCTAGTGGGGACTTTGTGTCCGTGTTATGCACAGATGAAGAGATCAGTAAGCGCTTTCTCATGGTTTTCACTGCACAGACACCGAGCATTATGGCGAGGAATTACTCATTTTTAGATACCGGCATGAGATGGCATGATAGCCGTGCTGAATAGTAACCATAGCAACAGCGCAATCGGACGCTGAACAATGTAGGCGGCTGAGAGCACAGAACGGGGGAGCCTGTAACCCATCTGTACCGGTTTCCACAACACATACAACCACAATAAAAGAAATTAAAAAATGAGACCAGTTGGCATTTAAGCACCGCATTCTGCATACTTACATCCTCTGTGTCCTTTACTCGTAGAATCTGTTCTCTCAGGTCCTGGAGGTCGTTGAAAGTGGACTGTGCAGTGATGGAGTATACCAGGGCGAAGCCTTGGCCGTTCTTCATGTACAAGTCCCTCATTGCAGTGAACTGCTCCTATACGGCACATAAGAAAGACAGGCCATGAGCTCTGTCACGTGTTCTCTGGCATTTTAGAAAACCCTTAAATACTTATTTTAGAGTTCCAAAATATAACAGAAAATCCCAACGTTGTGACGATCGGAGATTTCGGAACACATAGTGATGGACATTATGCAGTGGAAGTCTTTTCACAGCACACTCACACCATTGTGCACTGCAGGTGAATAATCAGTCCCCTTTGATTTTCCACCAAGCACGAACATGCACATTGCTTCGGCACCATCTACGCACAAACAACGGCCGTGTGCACATCCCTGCAGCATGCTTGTGCTGGACAAAGGAAAGAGCAACTCCTACATGAACAACTCAGCGAAGCTGACCTTATCGAGCTAAATGTCATCATGCTAACATGCTGCGAGTCAGTTCATGATGTTAAGAATCCTATTAAAATTGGCTCCCTCAACAGAAACAGGAATGTCTGCAACAAAATATATTGGCAATAAGAATAGGTATTTTTTTCTTTTTCAAACTAAAATGTGAGCCTCACAATGGTAGAAAAGGTCTGTGAATATAAACCAAAAAATATATTGAGTGTTCCACCAACTAAAGAAGGTCTTGAATAATTCACAGGGTACAAACACATAATTCAGGGGTATCAAATGCACTTACTGTGCCTGCTGTGTCGAGAATTTCAAGCATACATTGCTGCCCATCTACCTCCACTTGCTGTAAGAGAAGAAAATAACACTTTAGTCAAGGGAACATCATATTCCAAAACTAAACCACAGTCAAATCCAACACAGTTGACGGGATCAAAGTAAGCAATAATGCAGGTAAAGACAAAAGCATAGAATAAAAAAAAAGACTGAAAAATAGAGATGAAGGAGTGAACCTGCAGAGCAGCTGCTAACAATCAGCACATTCTGATCCGCCGCTCCCCCTCCTCAAGGGACACTCACCTTTCTGTACGAGTCTTCTATTGTAGGGTCATATTTTTCCACAAAGATTCCCTGCACAAACTGAACCGTCTGCGAGAAAAGACAGAGCGAGAAAAACGTCAGATCGCTGTGACCTGCCGGCATCAACAACAAAACATCCAGAGCAGTGCCATATGTGCCCGGAGTTATATCACAACAAGAGGATGCTCATAGGGATGCCAGTCAATAGTAGCCAGGATGCATGAAAAAGTCTGATTGATATTTTTTAAACGTTTTAAAAGGGCCTGCATTGCAACATTAAGCGCTGTGCTTATTAACAGCTTTACATTGGGGGGTAGACAGAGTTCACTGTAAATTGTCTTTAAGTCAAAACATGTCCGCCAGCCAGTTTGAGGGATTAACCCCGACACCTGGTCGAGGTTAGCTAAGCAGAGCGTGCAACACTTCAGACATGTACGGTCTCCTCAAAAACTTGGAATGACAAGAAGATGAATAGAAGTTCTGGGTTTTGGGGGTTTGTTTTCTGTCAAAATGGGCTAAATATCCGTATCCAGAACCAACGGCGTGAGAAATGGAGAACTAGAGTAGACCGGAACACATGTCAGGAAATACATGCTACTGACATGCTACCGACCCATAAATAAGGAGACTAAAACATACTATATGAGGGAACTGTTTCGTATGTCGTGGATTCCTGTGAAAGAAATGTCTACAATTCTTTTTCACATCAGCTTTTCCTCCAGAAACATTTTTTGTGTGTATTTTTGAATGTATATTTTTGGTGTGTAATACTCACCAGAGCAGACTTGCCCACACCTCCAGAGCCTAACACCACGAGCTTGTATTCACGCATGGCGGGTTTGCTTCACCGGACAGCCCAACAATCTGCACTGGACAAATGGAGAGTGGGGGAATGCGGGAATCAAAGTGAGTGAGGAGCAGATGAAATAAAACAAAACTCGAAAACAAGATCTAACTTTTAAAGGAAAACAACGTAATTTTCCAGCCTGGTCTCTTGAGTTTTTCCACTGTTGCTAGTCATTCCTGGAGTTTATGGACAAGACGCAGGACAACAATGGAGGGAACACCCATAAGTGGAGCTGCTTCAGGGTGGAGGAGTACGTGACCCCTCCGTAACACAAACCAGCTGTGGTGTGTACGAGTGGAGGGGGGGGGGGGAACCAACGGGGAGATGACGATTTGGGATCTGGCACATATTCCTGCTAATGACACAATCATCTGGCCTTCACACAACAAAACACAGCCGGCTGTCAGACGCTCATCTTAATTCTAAAACAGCAAGCTTTTGTCAGTTTTTGACCAATGCCTGAAAATAGCTGAGAGGCGGGGGAAAAAAAACAATGGGGAAGAAACCGTGAAATCTCTGGAATATCCCTTTGAAGGACCCAGAGGCTTTGAATGCTTGGCACACATTGACTAAAGTCCAATGGGTCAGCCAACTGGGTCACTGTGCTGCGCGCCAGAGAGACCAGTGCACTCAGGGGTTGTGGCTGACTTTTTGCTTAAGGAAATAATTATGCAAGTAATATTTAGTGAAAAACATCATCTGTTTAAACCTGTGAAAAATTGTTGCCGAGCTGTACCACATTTAGGTCCGCCAGGTTACTTTGACTGCTCGTCAAAGGGCTCGCCAGCCTTTCCCAAAGCACTGCGTTGACTCTTCTGTCGCGGGTTGAAAAGTGCTGCATGTTGCCGTCAAGGCTGTGCAAAAAGTTCAAATCAGGTTATGAAGCCTGGACTGTGAATAATACAAACCCCGTAATCTCTCACGCACGCGATTAGGGAGCTTGGAAGGAAAGCGCAAAGGGACGGGGTCGAGCAGGTGCTATTTCAACAGGCTCTGCTGTAGTCGTGTAAACACTCAACTAGAGAGTCAAGTGCCCGCGTACAATGTCACACAAGACAATGTCACACGTAGATCTAGACTAGGCCTCACATGCTCTCTGTCCACACTTCATGCCTGAACCCAGTGAGCCCGCTGTGGGACAGTGGTTCTTAGATCATTACGGGTTGCTTCAGATGTTGTTATGGAGGACGCAAAACAGAGGTGCATGTCGGATTGGCATAATTTGTTATTTCTTACATGGCTTTTTTTAAATCAAACGGTTTTTTTAATATATTTAAAACAAACACTGTATAAGCTACATGCTAATGTCAATACATAAAGTAAATGCAAAAGTATGTTCAGGTTTTTATGCGTCTGATCAAATTGATATGGAACTACCCAACGGAAAATAAGCCCTTCTTTATCTAAAGCAACTGTGGGTTCTTACCAAAGCAGAAACAGAAACATGAAAAGCTGGTGGGAAACTTTCACAACATGAACTGGTGGGCTCGCTACCCCCCTGCAGATCCCCACATGTTCTACAGTTACACCCATGGAGGAAATGGAGACCTTTACAAACCGCCATGTGCACGGCACAAGAGGAGAGCTCTTTGGCGGGTGGTTAAAAACGCAGCAGAACATTGTTGGTACCCAGCTGCTATTATCCGTGACGAGAGGTGCTTGAGAAGAGTCGAAAGGACGTCATAAGACGAAACGTTACAGAAGTATCGGCAAACCACCAGACCTACCTAGGTTATGGTTTGGTGGTTTTTGTGGGCGCCGAAAACTGCATTTGGTTGTTACACAACCTGCATACAAAAAGTTAACCATGTGCTTTATTTTACATGACTGTTGACCCCTGTTTGAGGGTTAGCAAGTAAAGTGCTGGGAAGCCGACTACGACGCCTGACTATTTAAAATTAAGTTTTGAAGTAAAAAGAGAAGCTCAATTGAGCCATAGACCACTGGGAAAGTACGTCTCACTGAGCTCGAGTAGGAGTGAAGGACCACATTTCTCAGCGATAGTGCACTGATCCATGTTCTGAAGAACGGCAAAGTGGACGCTCTTAAAGCAAGACACCGAAGGCGCTGTCATTACCTCAAATTATACAATTACTAATGCAGCATAACACCACCACTCTCTATCGATCTCGGTTCTGTTCGAGCTTCTCGCTCCAAACTAGTGTTTCTTACAAATGGCTGAAATTTAAAAAAAACACACACCTCCGCACTCTCAAACGCTTGCCTACACACTCACAACGCAGATAACACACACGCATACACACGGCCATTTAAGGACATCTGCCTTTAAACACCAAACCGCTCTCTCTCGTTCCGTCGCCCTCCACTACACACACACGGTCATTCCCAACAAAACAAACACGCCGCTGCTGTTCCTCTGCTCTCGTAGTAACCCCAGCAAATAAGGAGCGAGGGAAAGCCACATGCCACAGAAAACATGCTCCGGCATGACATCACCAAATCGCTCACCATCTACGGCCAAAAGTATGCATCCATCTAGGGCTGGAATTTGGACGAGGTGCCGCTGCTGGCGATGAATATGCGGCGAATGTGTCCGGATAGACTACGGGAAACTGAAACCAGAGAGCAGGAGGCTTCAAGGCCAAAACTACTAACTATAGGATGCAACGTTTCCTGGTGTAGAGGAGCTAATCCTACGGCGCCGGAGCTGTCAAATGGCCTGACTCGGCAGGGCGGTATGATTGACAGCCGCGCTCTGTATCGTCGAGCCAGTGCGGACGGGAAGACGGACACATCCGTTGGTTAGGCTGGCAGAAACGATGCAGACATGCGTCAGCTTATTTTTCCTGCTTGTTGACCAGCATGACAATTACAGGAGCTACACAGGGTGACAAATATACACCGTTGAGGTTCTAGGGTTGAAAAAAAAAAAAGGGGGGAGACAATCTTTCTGGCGGACTGTTTTCTTGATATCGCTGAGCCCGTTTACTTATTACCTCCACCACAACCACAGCTCACACTGAGCTTCGCACGAGAGACGCTGTAACTAAAGGGGAATAACCCAGAAACTATTGACAGCAGATGAACGGTCATGCAAAGGGTAAAGGAACGCTTTATTCTACAGCGAACATATTTACTCATCTCATAACAGTGTCTTGAAAATTTCTTGGAAAGTACTATGTTATGCAGTTGTAATTACTGGGGCAGGAAAAGGGGATTGTTTGGTAAGAGTTTGAAAACAGATGTTGAAATCCAGAGGAATTTCTCTAAAAGTACAGCACCACTTCGATGAACATGTCAAACTCTAATGTATTGTTGAATTTATGTAATTATTGGAAACATTATTCTTTATATGCCAAGATGAATGTGTTTTCACAATTCCGTCCAGCTGACTTGCTGTGCCCACACTGAAACACTACATGGCGCAGCAGTTAACTGGCGGTATATAAAAGTAGAATAAGTACCCACTTCCTCTAATTCAGTTTCTAATTAGTGGCAAATTACAAAGTTCTTTGGTCCTTGTAAATTCGAATTTACGAGCCTGTAAAATAAAAGATTACCCCAAAGCTTGAAGAAAAAGAAAACAATGCTCTTCACCTTCACGTGTTATAAGCAAACGCAGGTTAACTTTTCACAGGTAATATTAGACTCACGAGTAATGACGATGCTTCAGATGTTAAACTTCAGGAACGTTACAACATTGGGTCCTGCACGATCTTCTCTGAAACTTATCGGTTTGCAAAGTTCACACACCGCGTTATGGGTCTCCTAGAACTCTTGACTTTCACCCACCAGTCAGAACACCACTGCAGCCAAGCACACAAAGTAAAGTTTGCTGTGACTTTATGACCAAGATCTGCAAACTGAAAAGCACCATCAGCAGAACACATCTGTGCTCCGACCTGTAACCACATCCTCTTTCCAGAGAGCAAGACGGCTTCATGCTGATAGGCTGGAAAAGGAGCAGCTACCTACTGAAATAGCCTCTTCCAGTCTCTGTTCCTGTTCAAGACTGCAGACAGAAGGCTTGCTAATAGAAGGGGAGGAAGTGGGTTTTATAGCCCGTAAACCATCATCAGACCTGAGGCTCCGGAGAGATCAGGGGATATTCAGGATGAGGCAGATGTCTCATTTCAGTTAAATACAGAAAGAAAGAAAAAAAAGACAGTTACGACTCATTGCAGGAATGTCTTACTTCCCTTGGGAGCTGTGCTATTCTGTTATTAATAAAGAGGAGGTGCTGTGTATTTACAGTTTGAAGATGGAGAACACGCACCTTTTCCGTTTTATCCTGCAACAGGCTGGACACAAAAGCCTGGCCGCACACCAGAGAAAGTACTTGGGTTATCTCGCTGTGAATCTAGCTAATTTGCTTACAGTAGTAGCATATGCTCATCACTCCAGGTCATGATAAATCCCTGCAATCCGTGGCTCTACCAGAGAACGGTTAACTGACACCCCGCCGGTGCATGATTATTACACCCATAGCTTACAATAACAAGGATCAAATTGCGCTCGAATCACAAACCAGTTTACAGATGAATACCAAAATAACCTCATCTATAAATCAAAAAAAGCTCTGGTGGCAGCATCGGTCCAAAAAACCATCTGTTTTCAGACAAACAACCGCACTAAATCCCCGTTACTAAAGCTTGCTAACTAGCTAGCTTTAGCTGCCTGCGACGGACGGGGCCGCCGACACTTCAACGCCGCTAGCCGCGGCTCGTTAGCAAGCTGGCTAGCGAGCTAGCTAGGCGACACTCTCCTCTCCGCGGCGCACGTTCACAAAATAAAACCAGCTAAATCACAACCACGCTGCAAACCACCGCATTCGCAGCTTTAGACGTCCACCGGGTATCGGCGGGCTGTTAAAACAAAATGAAATCAAGCCGCGTTACGGTGTATTTTGTTCGGGAAAAGACCGACCGCTAACATTACCTGCCTTTCCGCACCGGCCTTGACTAAAATGGGGAGTGCACACTCCCGTTCTGTACTTGCGGACAATTATTTTTTTTCTCGTTTACCCTCGACACGTAAAAAAAAACGACGCCGTGCACCCCGCCGTGTGCGCTCGCTATCCTTCCGCTGTCCACCGTCCTCCACTAATCCTCTCACAACACACCACGCGAAGAGATATAAAAGGAAAAGAAAAGAAGACTTACATGACCGCGTTTAGCATGTAGTAAAGTTTTGGTATTTCCACTCACCGTTTCTCGCTCGCTGTCTCGCGCCGCTCCGCAAGTGTCAGTTTGCCTGCGGCCTCTGTGCGCAGCCGACGTCACTCCCGACTGTTTCTCATTTTTTCTTAAAAGGGCATGATGACACGCGGGCCGCTCGCCCCGCGCCGTTTGCACGATAACGGGGCCGCGCGGCAACGAGTGTCACGATAGATGCGCGGAGAGCAACTTTCTAGGCAAATCTACTAAAACACCTTTTCGACATTATACCTTCAATCTTAAAAAATAAAAATAAAAAGTTGTATTATTAGTCAATTAAATAGTTGATTGAGAAAAAAAAATAATATAATTATTTAGAATTGGTTTATTACTTCTCAGTTTCACCATTTCCCAAACATTTGCCCTAATTAGACATTAAAGTGACTATTTTTACATGTTTCGGCTCGGTGAAAAAGACCAAAACTCCTTCAGTTCTACAAACACATTTGTATCTTGGATTTGTATCCTGAATCCTGGAAGTCTTCTCTGACAGCAGACCCAACTATTTATCTATTTTGGAGAGTTGGTTTGACAAAACAAGCCCTAAAAAGGTCAAGACAGTATTGTCAGATGTAAATTGTTAAACTCTTTAAAGATTAAACCTTTACTTAAATATCTGACCACATACTGGAAGATAAACCGCTAAAAACCTTTTAAGTCCCAGACTTAATGTCTAAGAGGCATCATGTAAAATACCTTGTACTTATTTCTAAACTGTTGTTCTGGTTTAAATTAAACTAAAGTTACATCAACCGTCCTTTACGCATCCAGTGTCCTTCAGCCGCCACAGAGGGGGCTTCAAACAGGTAACAGGTGTGTGTGGGTTAGTGACACAAACACATGAGAATGTGAGAGGAAAGTGCAACCTTATGTGGCTTTCGTAAACACATTTGGCCAAGCAGAGGAAGAGCAGCATCGGCCTGAATATGTTGGAGAGGACGACCCTCTGGTGGGGAATGAGCGGTCCTGCCCAGCAGGGCGCATCATGGGGGATTGCAGGAAAGCACAGTGCACTCGCGAAGTGTGACCGTGAACTCGTTTATCTACACTTCTGGATGAATAGGAATTCATCAGAGCACAGCAAACAAAAGGTAACAAGGTAGTTCTTTATTGTACCATACTATAATCTATCATACAGTTTTCAAACAGTATGCAACCCCTTGCTTGAGTTTCTCCGTTCCATTTTTACTGCCTGTGCCACCCTTTATCATTACCAGGCTTTCACGAACCTTTGTGGTGGATGTGAAAGCGCTCTAATATAAAATAGAACATTCTGGTAAAACTCTCATCTCTAAAATAAATATATAAAATCAAAACAGAACCCCTTATTCCAGGAATAGCATTGTGACTGGTATTTGCCTTCAAGAATCCAAATCTAAAAAAATCCAGCCAAATGAATGCGGCCAGCCCAAGCAGTGACATATTTAAAAGGCAAATGAAACTATAAGGGAATACAAGTAGAGCCTTTACCGTATATATACACACAAAGGGGTAGAACATTACTCATAATTCATAATGTTGTGCGTGTGGGGTGTTTTTGCTGGATTAAACACTGTCCGAATGAAGTTTATCAGTCCGGAGCTCCCACTTGTTGGTCTACATGCAGTACATGATGTATATGAAGACAACAGAAAAACACACCTTGTCTCCAGTCTCACCACGTGTTTGTATTTAACCAGAGTTGGGTGAAACAGATGCACATGACAAGGCGTACAATGGCACAAGACAGATCTGTACATGGCCCTTGAAAGGAGGAAAATGAACATGTACTTCGTCCTTCACTTCTCTGACACGGCCCATAAAGTTGGGTGCAGTTGCTATTCTCAGATGTGTGGTATTTTACATCTCCATTTCCTCTTTGTAACTTCAGCAAGGAATTCAAAAAAGCCTAGAGGATAAGAAGTGAGTCCTCTCACTGGTATTGTCTGTAGTCTCCAAAGGAAGGGGCAGCCATGGGAGCAGGGGCCGGTTCCTCGGCAAACTGGGGCCCTAGGAGAAGGAAAAAGTCAAATGGAGAACAGCGGTCGGTCGTTACCCAAGAGGGCAATAGCCTTAAACATAAATACATAAACATCGGTCTCAACTCAGATTTGTGTGATAGCAGAAACGAATGATGGTGTACCATCAATTAATCTGTAGATCATTTTCAAAGTTAATGAATGGATACAATTAGTAAATAGTATCTAGTAATAAAAACAGTAATGCTGTTTTGAGAATAGGGAAAAAAGAGACAATTGAGTGCACTCTAATCAATGTGCATATCAAAACACACACACACACACACTTATATACACATATATAGTTTTATAATTTGCATTGCGATGGGATGATGATTTTGGTTTAAAGCTTGCAAGCAGGTGGGCAGATCTGACTAATGTGTCTAGTCAGTCAACTAATATAACGGTCAAACACAGGTGAAATTACAGCTCCAGGCGGTACTTTTTTCTTTGCCTTTGAGTTGTGATCTTCACAATTTATTAGAAAATGTTAGGGAGGGATTTTCATAACTAAATTTGTATTTAATAATTTGTTTGTAAATTCATCAAACCGTGTTCGATGTGCATGTGATGTGCTTTACGTCATTGATTATTCAAAACGCAAGCGTTCAGCGTCAGCGGTATTACTCACCAGTTGGGAATTGTGATGAGGCAAATCTAGTAAGCAAGATTCCAGCACCCTCTATCAATGCCAGCAGGATTCCTCCCATGGCTGCAGAGCCCACCATGGCTACTGGACCATCTAAAGACGAACAGGAAGTGGTAATATATTTAACATGCGTGCGCACACACAGCCACAATCACAAGCGCGCCCACAAAGTACACAGTGCATTAGTTACCACGTATGGAGTCATTGTTTTCATCTCTACTCAATTGCCATTTAAAATGTTTGTTTTTTTTAAAAGCCAACTAACAGCAAACAGTTGGGCAAACTGCACCAAATGTGTTCATACTGCTTAAACTGTGGGTCAAAAGTTAAGCTCCAATATATTAATCTCCAAATGTAGCGTCTTACCGATGGATTTTTTCACATTCTGTATATTTAATAATGCAGTAGATTTTAGTTTAAACAGTGTTCAGCGCACCAGAGGAACCTTACTGTTTGCCTTTTGCACGTACGTGCTAAATGTTGGGACTCAGCTTCTTGTAAGCTTACTCACTTCTTGCAGCAAGGATGGCTCCCGTCATGGCCCCACTCGTAATCGAGTTCCAAGGATCCTCCTTCCCTCTTACTTGTACTAAACCACAGTCAATCATGGAGAAGAGGCCTCCCCATACTGCAAAGCTTCCTGTAGCCCAAAAGATATTCGCTCAAGTTCAGTAAGAAACAGTTAAACAAGCTTTTGCTAAAGAGAAAATTTGTGAAAGAACATTAGATACTAAATAAAAGGGGTTTCCGGCAGAAGATATCGGATTATCCGTTATCCTCACCTCCAAGTTGTGGAGCTCTGGTCTTGATGGCGGTCATGCTTCCCCTCATTCTGTGGTTCATACCCTACAAGAGAAGGCAGCACAAAGCAAAGATCAATGGAAATGTAAATTCAAGACTTCTGCATTTTGGATGAAAGCCTACATTAAAGAAGATGAAAAGTTAAGACAGATGTTTTGTTGCTGAAACAATTCACAAAAAAAAAGGAATAAGTTACATGACTGAACTTACGGAGGGTGCATTTCTGAAGCCCTTGACTGCCTGAAATATTCCTCCTCCAATCGCTCCCATGGTGAAGGCTCCTCCACAATCATCAACAATCCTCCAGGGGCTAGAAGCATAGAACAGATGCATTTACACAGGGCAATCTAATGATCTTAGAGAAGTTCTGATTGCAGTTTAAATATTGATATCCCTTTTGAGTCTAGATGGAATCCCAAGCACGTTGTTAGTATGGAAATGAATTGAAGGTCATTTTAAAAAAGTTCTATTTGGACAATAGAACGAAAAAAAACCCCAATATGATCACGTTTTATATACACTGCACATCCAGAAATGAAATAGAATGCCATGATGAACACGTAATACACCTGCACTTAGATGTGCATCTTCACGGTTTACTTAGAATAAGAGCATCTCTACTCAAGCAGGACGTGGAAATAGAAATCATTTATTTTATAACCTACTTACATTAACAACTGCAAGATTAAAAAAAGCAGAGCAAAATATAATGTCTCAAAAAGGCCTTGATTGGCTGGTTATTACATGATGTAACGTTACCACCTGGTCTGCAAATAATTCAACTTAATAAGTTCGATGTGCACGTTCGATAACAAACCTTCGGTATAAACTGGTCACTACTGCTTAACACAGTCAGCATGGAGACATGCACATCGATTGAAATAAGTTACAGTTCCTCCCTTCCCATATAAACCGACATGTCTCCCAGTACCCTTCAGCAGCTGTTGTGCAATGATCTACTGCCCCCAACAGATAATGATAGCACACAGGTAGCCAACTTTGCTAGCTTAGCAATATGCTAAAGCTACTTCCTTAACAGATACACTGCACTCGTGAAATTGTCACAGCTGGGCTTGACATTCACTCCATATCCTATAGATCCGCAGACACTCAGTTGCTGGAGGTAATCAACTAAATACAATGACGCGTTAGCGAGCAAACCGACAAGGTCACTAACAACGTGACATAGCAACGAGGGTCTGATGCTAGCACACACCGCTAATAGATGTCTGTGTAACATTAGCATTTCTGCTAACGATAAGGTAGCTAGCCGGCTAAGCGATGTTCCGTGTTATTCCACATGTTGTATCATACAAATAAGTACAAACCCTAAAAGTGGCAGTTACTTCATATGGGGGACTTGGCAAAGTAAAGGGTAAAAAGGCTGAGTTATCTAGTTTTAAGACTCACCAGGGTTCTCTGGCATATTCCTCCATCTTGTTCTTCTGCTGTTCCCTCTGGTGTGACGCCAAATCGACAGGCTGACGTAAGAAGACCACGTGATGCATCGAAAGATCATTTCATAAGGCAACGCTGCATTAGAATCCAAAACAGTGAAGCAAAAGGGAGATGGAACATTATGGGACCGTTTAGGAAAGTCAGCATTTTAGATCGTTGCTTTGTCATCCTAGATTTAATTAACAAAAGGAATATTTTGTCTTGTCGTCAGTTTATTTATTAACGTCAGAGGTTTACTACTGATTGTTGACCCTTGGGTCCAATACCAAAGTAACCAAACGTCCAGTACTGGGGAGAAGCAGCGATGCACGAGTCATTGTAAAGCGTATCCGGAATTGCACAACATTTAGAGCTATAAGTGTAAAACAAACAAGTAGTTTTCAGGATTCGTTTTTAAACTGTTCTTATTCATTTGACCCCTTTATGTAGCTCAAAGACTGACATAGAGCAGCAATAGCACAATTACAGATATTTAGCATTAATACTAATACTAAAAAACAAGCACGTCGGTTAGTTTGTGAATGATGGGTTGGAAATAGGGAAGTACGCCAGGTATCTTTGGTGCTACACAGAAGAGAAGTGGTTAAACATCTTATCAACAGAAGCAACAGCATCACAACAAAAACAGAAAAGAATACACCAGCAGTTCAGTCCATCACAAAACATCACTTTTACTGTGTGGCAATACAGTTGAAAAGTGGGAATTTATTCCCATTCCATTTAAATTTTTCTATTTTTGTTATATAACAAAGCAGATAAAAAGATTTAATAAGATTAAAAGTATTTATTTTTTTAGCTGATACTGTGCTTGCATCGTGTATTTTATATGTTATATAAAGGGGGATCAATAGGGTCTCACCGGCTGATTTTTGTGCAATTTTTGGAGGTTATTCGGCCACATTAAAGCGATATAGGACCCATAAAAAGTCAACTTGTGACTAAACTGAACACAGCTCAGTTGATATAAACAGACAAACACAAAAAAAGAATGTTCCTTGAGTTACTTTCTGCATGCAAATGATCACCAGGTTCTCCCTCGGGCTCCTCTGTTGGCGCCGGAAATCAGTAATCTCAACATTTTCATTCCTTCCCCACTTTTTTCCTCCAGCTATAAGACCAGTGGTCTCGGTCAGAGGAGCAGATACAGAGAGAGCGACAGAGAGACAGACCGCTGGCCTGCAGCCCATTATTAGGAACGAGAAAGGAATGAATTGCAGAGCAAGCTTTCACTGAGAAATGCCCAAATAAAGGCATTTCATGGATGCAGAGGCTGAGCCGGGGAGACGGAGAAGTAAACTGGCCTCTTGCTGCTGGAGCTGTTCTCAGGTTGATGGCTGCCGCAGCAGCTGGAGGGTGGACGCTGCGCCGCTCCCACCGCTTCTCTGCTGCTTGGAACATGTGATGTGAAGGGAAATGTGGAGAAATGTTCCTGTTTCCTGGTGACAGCGGCGTGTAAATGGGTGTATAGTGGTGTATAGTTTAAATACTAGAGGTTAGTTGTTGACTACGGATACATTTATTAATGTTGCTCTGTAAATACTGTGAATAACTTCCTAGCGGTTTTGAAGTGGAAATACAGTACTTGAGTTATTATTAAAAGTGAATGATTTTATAAAGCCTTTGAACCAACTGAATGAATGACTGCCCATTTGAATTATTGTAGATCTAAAAAACACTATAGATCTGAGTTGCATTTAACATTACACTTACTATTACTATTCTCTGTAATGATATCAGGCATAACATTACACCGGTGACTTTTCATGGCAAACATAGAAGAATCTTTTATTGAAGTCATACAGACTCTGTAAGAAAGGCATGTGTAATCAGATATGACCGAGAATATTTCATTACACAGTGCAATTAATGAGTGCCCCTCCGATTTAAGATTATCCTTAAAAATGACATTCACTTAAAACTAAGGGCATACATCAACAGGAGAGTTGTTATAAGCCCATACTGGTTTTATAAAGTTTAAGACATTAAGCTATGTAAGGTATTCAAACACCACCGCTACAATGATTCTGTACAATATATAACATCAGATACGGAAGGAGAGCCATTTGTCCTTCCTGATAAAATTGTTTCCACGCTAAAACTCTTTCATCGTGCACCAGGATTCCACTGGGCTGCTTTCCAATCCATTAGATCCTGCCTGAGATGTCATGAGATTTGGCATTGAGACACACAATCAAAGATCACCTTGATCCTGACCTTTTTCTCCTTATCCAGGTTGTCTTAAGTCGGGCCGCCATGTTTGTTAATTCCCTGATATTCACGCCATTTAAGAATACCCAGTTTCAACAGACTTACAACTTACAAATATGAGGTGGATTTTCTCCCCGCAAATAAATAAATGGTCAAATTAATGTCCACTATATCGCTGATAAACCTTTTGTATGTTAGAATTTAATAAAGAGTTAATTGAATCTTTCATCAATAAGCTCATCGCACCCCCCCCCCCCCCCCCAACACTTCATATTATCTAGTGCAAATAACCATAATATGTACTGAAGACAACGACGGCGACACTCGTGGAACTCTTTGCAATAGGGAGGCCTGCATCACTCATTCTCCACAGACTCCTTTTGGTCCAGTGTTCGAGGGGAGAACTCATTGTGAGGGCTGGTCGTCCAATCGATGGGCTTCTCTCGGGTCACTTTCTCCATCCTTCCCGCTGCACATTTTTTCCACTGCATCCGGGGAAACGTAGAGAACGTCTCTTCTTTTTTTTTCTCTCACTTTGAACAGGTTAAATATTACTGCAACCACTTTGGCACCGGCACCTGTGGGGACATTCAAAAAGTTGAGTTAGCGCGGACGCGTTGCGACGTAAGCGGACTCGTTGATGAACCGACCTCACGTACCTTCTTGAGTTCTTTCTTGTTGTTTCCTCTGATCGAGGCCAGCAGTTGGTCCCTCGAGTTCTTACAACCGCCCGAGCTTTTACCATCCAGTTTCCTCTGCGACACCGGGGTCAGGGAGTTCCTCAGGGCGTCCACCTCCAGCATCGGGGGCGGAGGTGGCGGAGGCCCGCACCCGGGCGGCGGCGGAGGCGGCGGCGGCGGACCTCGAGCTCCTCTCTTAGGAGTCAGCTTGGGTGATGGCGCGGGTGACGGCACGGGAGAAGGTTTGGGTGAAGCTCTGGGCGAGTTCCTCAGAGATCCTCCGCCGCCGCCCGCCTTGGGGACCTCCAGCGTCTCCTTCTTCTCCCCGTTGGCCTGCGCCTGCTTCTGCTCCTGCAGGCGCTTCTGCCTCTGCCGGTCCATGTTGCGGCTCAGTATGTTGGTCGTGGTCATCCGGGGTCCCGCCAACTCAAAGTGGTAGCCCAGCTTGAGCAAGGTGGTGTTCTCCTTCAGCACCTTGGTCATCTCCATCTCCGTCTTCCCGCCGCAGACGTGGCGCTGGTTTTGAAAGCGAAGCTCGGTCAGCGTGGAGTTGTGCGGCAGCGCCTGGATCAGAGACAGGATGCCCTTGCCGGTGAGATGGTTGGAGTCCACGTTGATGCTGACGAGGGTCTTGTTGCTGCGCAGCGCGCCGGCGATGGCGTAGGCCACGTGGTCGTCCGCGCGGCAGTTGGCCAGAGCGAACTTCTTCACGTGGGTGTTCTTGTGCAGAGCCTCCGCGAACTCTATGAGGGTTTTCGTCTTGATGACCTCCGAGTTGTTGACGTTGAGCTCGGTGAGCTCGGGGTCGTCGCTGCGAACCTGCTCCATCAGCTCGTCGAACATGCTGGAGTCCTCGTCGTCGTCGTCCTCCTCCTTCGCCTTGCTGTTTGGGCTGTTCTTTTTGGCCACGCAGTTGCCGAGTTTCTCCGTTTCTTTTCCACCCGCCTCCTCTTTTTCCACTTTCGCCTCGACTTTCTGATCCTGGCTCATGTTCTTCTTCTCCTTCTCTTTCACGCGGTCACTGTGGTTGACCAGCTCTTCTCTGTCTGTTCTCTCCTCCGCCTTGTCGCGTTTCACCTGCGCGTCATCCCTCTCTGACGGCTGTCGCTGGAGTTTGGCATCGTGCTTGTTCGCGTCTTCATCTTTTCTCTCCTTCCTCTCCTCTGTTTTCCCCTGGGGGGCCGGGCTTTCTTGTGCTTTGCTCTGCTTTTCCAACATTTTAGAGACAAGTCCTTGTGTCCTGAAACTCTCTGATTTCCTCTCCTTGTCCTTGCTCGTATCCTTCTCATGCTTCTCTTGCAGCTTTGAGATAATGTCTTTGGTTTTGCCCTCGTCTCTTCTCCGGCCGTCTTCTTTTCGGTCTTTGCCCTCGTCCTTTTTTTCCTGTAACTTCGAGATCATATCCTTTGTTTTGCTACTTGTGCTCTCTCGGTTTTCTCGCCTGTCGCTTATCTTGTTGTCCTCACGTTTCTCTTTGGTCTCCTCCTTCACCTCACTCTCTCTGCTTTCTTGCTTACAGAATCGGCTCGAAAGCCGACCTTCGGGGCCTCTGCTGCTCCGGCCGTCGACCTTCGTACCTTTGTCACTCGAGACGCTGGTTTGTCTCTGGAGCCCTTCGGTCACGTCGTCGCTCCCCTCCTGGCTCAGGCCCGTTTTCCTCAGGTATTCCTGCCTCCGGCTCTCCTTCTTCTTTGTCTCTCCCTGCAGGAGGACGAAAACGAGGAGCACGTTCAACACATGAACGGCGTCAAAACCAAACAAGAGGTCCGCGATTCACACGCCGTCGAGACATCTGTGTCGTAAAGCGAAATGATCGATGTGCTCTGCAGTACAAAATGTGTTCTGTTTCAGGCATGATGTATAGATAGCGTGGCAATAACATGCAGCACCCCCCCCAAAAAAAACCTGTATTCCTTTACTGTCAACTAGCTGCTCGTCCATCTGCTCGGTGTAAACACACTCGCCCTCTCGCTGACACAATGCGGCACCGCGTGTTGACAGCCGGCAAAAGGACGAGGACCCCATTTGTCAAACAGTGCAGGGAAACATTTCGCAGTGAGCGGCTCGTGCCGGATCTGTGAGTCTCGGCCAGTTTTTTTTCTTTTGCCGTCTGAGGCTGTGGCTCCGGCAGATGCAGCCTTAAAAGGCAGTGAGCGTTCGGAGCAATCAACCAAGGAATTCCATCAGGCCGGGGATTAAGAAGCTCCGGGGGGGGGGGGGGGGGGGGGCGCCCAAAAGTTTTTTTCTTTTTAACACAAAAACAGCGGAAGACCTGTGTGCGGGAAATTAAAGGGGGGGGGATTTTTGCCGCATAGCCCGGGAAATAAAAAGAACGCTCCCAAAGGGTTCTGGGTTTTAAAGTCTCCTCGGGAGAAACAGAGACATCTCAGCCATTTATTATCAGCATAGTGTGCAAACTGTTCTCTGCGATTGCTAAACGTGTGTGAAGCAGCGGGTGATCCTGATTAGAACTAGCTCACATACAAAAGGTCCTAAAAGAGGGATGGTTCTGTAAGCATTCACCAACCTCCAACGAGAGTTCCCTCTCCCCGAGCCTCCCCCTCCGGTCACTCTCTCGCCTGCCGTCCAGTTTGGCGTCCCGGACGTGGTTGCTCGCGGGCGCCTGCGCGCCTCGGCTCTCCCTTGGACGAGGAGCTTCCCGTCCTCCGGCTTGACGTCCGGCACTTTCATCATGTCCTTCTCCAGCTCCTCCATCTCCTCGGGGGAGAGAGCGGACAGCAGGTTGTCCAGGTCCGGGTCCTCGCTGACCTGGCGGCCCGTGCGGGTCAGGCCCCTCACCTTTCTTCTCGACATGGCTGCTGGAAAATAGTCTGGGGGAAATTTAGGCTGCGGAGAAATTTGGAGGTGGTGCAGTAAATCCCTTCAGTTCAAATCTGATTTCTGGGTTGTCTCTCGCTCCGATGCTGAGAAGTATTCCAACAGGTCAGAGCTGGCGTCCTGCTCGCCAAAAAAACCCCACCAGAGGTGTCAATCCCGGTGCAAAGAGGCCCGGTTCTCTCGGTCTTGCGGTGAGGGGCACCAGCGACGGACTGCGAGAGCCTCGCGTCATCAAAGCGGACCGTGAGGCTGGGACATTCTTTGAAATCCTGTGAAAGTGCATGTCCATATTTAGTCCAGGGTACACACTCCTTTAAAGGTAATGGGAAGGGCTGAGGTTTACAGAGAGTTACACAGACTTCCCATTACACAGTTTGTTTACGTCCACACCGGTTCCAGTTAATAACCGCCGGGAGTCCCACAGAAAATCTGTGTGACTGTAAGGCATTTTTAACACGGTATCTTTAAGCAACACATTTCTAATCTTTTCAGAGAAACAGTACGAGTTAAACATTTTAAACAGTTTTGTTTTCACAGGAGCTAAATAAGGTCCCAGCAGGCGAATGATTGAGGGTGAAACAGAGGTCATTAAATATATGCAGCGAAAGTGTCCTAAAAGGCCAGTGCAAAATCTCACACGCTATATAAGCACTAAAATTCAGATTTTTAGGTAGAAAAAAAAATTGTAAATGTATTAGATTAATAACACAATGATTCAAAAGGTATTTGAGAAAAACTAAATGAAAGGAATTGAGTTAAAACAAACAAAATAAATCCAATGTAACTGTGAGTAAAAATCGGAATAATAAAAATATGTATATTTACATGGTGTGTGGGCTGTGTACGTTTTCAAAATATAAAATAGGTGAAATGTACTTATGTCACAGCTGTAAGGCCAACTATAAAAATATGAAACTCTTCAAAACGTTGATAGTAATCATCGTTTTTGGGGAAAAGAAAGACACAGGACACATTTGTATTTTTACATTCCAAAGTTAAATTTTATGTTACTAGAAATAAAACGCTTTTCCACTCACTTTATATTACAATGGCATACCATCCATATGACCACAGACAGTTATTTTGCCAACTGATGTCAGTTCCAGTAAACACACTCATGGAGTTGGTTTAGAACAACAAATGAACAGAAACATCATTGAGCAGATTATGTCAAACTACATACGGAAGCGTTAGACAAAGAAAAGTCCAGTGTTCTCTGTGTGCTTTTCAGAGGCTCAACACATCTGTACAAATGGACGTCGCCACCGCAGGAAACACGATGCTTCGCTTTCTTCTCCGAGACCAGATTCAGCAGTAAGTCTCAAAGAAAAGCCCCGGCTTCTCTTTAATGTAGTGATACATTACACCCGAATGAACATAACCATCACCTATGACAGATAACCGCTCCAAACATGCTTCAGAAGTCATGTTTTACAGCCCGCACATCTTACAGAGGAAGCAGGGCGGAAACAAAACACAAACCTGGACCAGATTCCCCACCGGAGCCCCAAATCTGCAAGTGTACACTCTAAACAAACAATTTGTAGTTTTGGTAAAAACACCGCTGTGTTTTCTGCACAGGCGAGGAGATTGAGACACTTGCGTCTTTGAGATTAGTATCGATCTACTCGAGTAAGTAACATTTCCCAACAATGACTTCAAAATAAACATCTACTTTTTCAACAGTAGTGATTTTTGGCTTTGCAGCTGGTCACAAGCTGAGAACCCATTCACAGTAACAGGTAACCTAAACAATGACGTTAATAATAAATACCAAATGAAAAGATGCCAAAGGTTGAACGTCTTATCTTATGTTACAATAACAATACATTATGTTTCAAATAACTTGTTACAATATCATAAAATATTCATCTGAAGAACAGATTTACAAAATAATGATTTAAATAGTTAATCTCTTTTCCCCCCCCCTCCTTTTCCATCATGGTTCATTATTGGCGGGACACTTTGTTTTAAACCGAGCAGCGAGACCGGCAACTCCCCTGACCTGATAGGTTACAACAAACAAACATTAAACGTGACTTTCACTGCGACACATCCTACCAGTATGTGATTCATCTAAAGATGTCTAATTCATATAAACCCAGAAAAGTAGCATGAAGGGACAGATCACTCTGACTGGGGTAGCATGCTGATGGATAGATGTTACATATGAATCAGTACAGCTAATATACTATCGTGAACAAATTAGTCCTGTCAGCTACAAAAAAACAAAACAAAGAGGCAAGCCGAAACTAACAGATGACTAAAAGCGTCTTAAACTAAATTAAGAGTACGATTGATCCTTTAGGCCATCTGCAAATTTAGGAAAGTATCGCTCTGCCTTTGAGCCGCACACGTCCTTATTTAAACATGCAGTTGGTTTTTCACTTGAGCCTCTACCGCACTACGGAAAGAAAAGAATCATTATCAAATACAGAAATAAAGACATTAAGTAATCATATTGCGACCTGGAATGTGGCCTACGGCAGTTATCAATTTAATGTTTTCTAACGAAAGGCCGGGAAGTAAAGCCTTGACCCCTCTTAAGAAACATAAGAGGAAGTGCGTGTACGTTGGTTTCTGTAGATGCCTCCCGAGCGCCCTGCTGTCGGGCGATGACCCCGTCATCGAGGGGAGGTCGCAGCATGGAGAGAGAGATGCTTCCTCACCATGAGGATGTTGTCACGGCCTCTGCGAAACCCGCCGGGAGCAATCAGTGATTGGACTTAGGTAAGTACTCCAGAAAAGTAGGACAGCCTTGCGAATAGACATTAGAAAAAAAAAAAAAATTAAAGTGCGTCCCGCTAGTCGGGATGTAGCGTTTGTTTGACTGTGTGCGTCTGTGAGTGTCGCTGCATTCTTCCTTAGATACAGTCCTTTCTCTCAGATGCTATTGTTTCCCGCTGTGTGTGTGTGTGTGTGTGTGTGTGTGTGTGTGTGTGTGTGTGTTTGCAGACGAGCCCATCAATGACCAGGATACTGGGGTGGAGAGTAAGGTGGAGGGGCTGAAAAATAAGTGGGGTAGAAACATAAAAAATAAAGTCAAAATTTCATATATGACCACATCAGCAATAAGAATTGTTTACAAAAGAATGACTTATTCTCTTTAAAGTGACACAGATATGTTAGCAGGTCATGCATATTTCTATTTAATACATTTATTCTTGCAAAGCACCTCGAACAACCTTGGAGTATAACACAGAGCTGCATAAATAAACTGCCTGAAGTGGTGACTAACGCTGCCGTCCTGGGGGCCCTGAATGTCTCATTCGTAAGGGCAGCAGTGAAGGGAACAAGGACTCATCCAAATTAAAAGGGTCTCCCTTTTAAATGTGATACCACCTATCACGCGTCAAAGTTGACCTTTTCAACAGTTGGCGATGCTACAGGGCACGTTCGAAATTGAGCGCTCAATATCTGGGGAATATGAATATATTACTTGTTTACTTTTGGGATTTTCCTGGAAAACAAGGTGAACTGTATCTCAATCAAGAGACCCCCCCCCCCCCCCCCAAAAAAAACCCCAACATTCATTCTCAGCAGCGTGACTAGTTTCTGTCGTTAAAGCAGATCGTCTAAATGGCACACAATAGCTAAAGCTCCTCTTACCCTGGCTGTACGCGGGGTCCATCAGGTGAGGAGGATAGTGCACCGGCTGCATCACCGGGTAGTGTGGAGGCATGCCAGGGTAGTGGGGCGCCATGGGATAGCCTATGTGCGCGTAGTCCGACGGTCCCAGCGGTTTTCCATAAGCGTCGTACATGGGCTCCACCGGGTAAGCCGCCATGGGGATGTGCTGGGCTGTGGGCCGAGAAGAACGGGCCGGCGGTGAAGGATCGCTCAGAAGAGCTGAACAACGGACACAAAAAGAGAGAGAGAGAGCGAGGAGAGCTCACCGTCGTACGGTGTCCTGCCCCTCTGCTGCCTCCTCTGGTACAGGTAGCAGCAGGAGCACATGAAGCAGCAGACCATGGTCGCGATGATCGCCACGAACAGGAGGATGGAGGAGGCGATGCCAGCCAAGGTGGTGGGGCTGAGACGGGACAACAGAGCAGGGCGCTTCGGTTTATGAAACATTTTCGCACGTTGCCATCGCCCCCCCCCCTCCAGACCTCCATCTCGCTAATTACAGTTGGGAGGATTAGAGGGGGCTGTGATGTGAAGCTTTTGATTCAGACACGCCGGTTTGACCCAGAAACATGCGTTTCAATGACGTGCACGCTGCGTTTCTCTGCCCCCCGACGCGATCTCCCACTGGGCTTAATAAGCTGGAGGTTGTCTGCTCGCTGCTGGATGGAGACCGATGGGTTTCCAGGGTTCCGGAGGGAAAGTGCCATGTTTCGGTCTCTCGGGTAACACGCCGTCTCCGTCCGGCGTTAGGTGGATCCCTCACAGGGGAGAAGCCCATGCGATGGAACGACTAATGAGGACATATTACACCGCGAGGACCAAGGCAAGGTCATTAAGTCAGATTCGGCTGGTACGACGCGAGTCAAGCTTTGAGAATGGAAAACTTTTCCCAGAAAGTGGACCATAGTTTCTATGTATGTTTATTCAATCATGTCTTTGTTGCGTAGACAGATTATTTATTGTCCTTTTCCAAGAAGATATGTTGCCACAGTCTTCACATGGATACATATGCACATTACGTACCTTAACATAATTAAATAAAAGTAGCATTTCAATTAAGTTTACTTTCTAACCATGGATTCATGTTGTCGGATCTTTAAGGATACAACGGCCACAACGTCCCTCCGGCAGCATTTTTAGGAATCTGTCTGCCTTCGGGAAGAAAAGGAAGCGTGATCCTGCAGTGATAGCGTTACACCGTGAGCGTAAACATGGTCTCTTAGTTTCAAATCAATGAATAAATACGCTTCCCGCACCTGAACTGGAAGAGCATGCAGCGCTTCTGCTCCCTCTCCGTGATCATCTTGAAGGCGTCCAGGCAGCAGTAGCGCCGGTGGCAATTCCCACAGCAGAACGTGATGAGGGGGCAGTCGAAGCCGTTGTGCCAGGTGCCGTTTTTGTCCACGTACCACAGACAGTCCTCGTTCGCACCGACTGCAAAACAGACGACACGAAGCGATGAAGCGGGCGGGTCAAGCTTTGGTTTGTCCTCTAACAAGAAAGTTCTTTTCCTCCTCACGATCCTTATTGTCAATGAGTTGTTTTTAATGAACCGACTTCCTTTGGTTCGTGAAGACAAATACAAATTCTCACACTTGAGATCCCATCGGAGATGAATCCCCAGACACATCGCTGTGATGTTACAGCTGTGTGGTCTCTCGGGAGACTGAAGCTCACTGGACGGAAGAGAAACATTCGGCGGACACTTTCATGAGAATAATTACACGGTGGGTCCGAAAATTGCGCTGAAGGATCTGACTCGTGTACGTTACCCCGCAAAATTCAAGGCACTAAAAATGAAAGCGAGGTGTATGCAGGCTGCGTACGCGACAGCTTGACTGAATACTGTAAATGACTTGTGTTAATGTCTAGTAGAGAATGTGTGCAGCACATTGTTGAGCCAAGATCTAAGCCTGGCTAAAAGGGTTTGGGCTCATTTGGGATGATGACCTTTGCGATAAGCTTGAAGCGCTCGCCTTTGAGAATACTTATTCTGCCACTTGATACAAGCGTCGATGTTAAAACAATCTATTTCTCTGCAGTAATGTCAGGTTGTTTTCACTACTGCATGAAGCTAGTCTTAGAACGACTGGGTGCTTTCTACCTGGCTGAATAACAATTCACACTATTCTAGAATTATAATTGTAGTGTAAATATGTTCAATTATGTTTTCTAGGCTACCGTGGAGCTAAAAAATATCTATAAAACAGCAATATTTTAAAATAAATGCCTTATAATAATAACTGAATAATAATTGAAATAAGCTTCATAAAAAGTGCAAAACAAATAAAGTTCGATAGATTAACATAAGTGTTAAATTATATAACGTTAATCTGCGTTGTGGGGGAAACTGTGATGGAAAATAAAATAGGTTCGTAACGTTTATCTTTAATTCTCAAAAAGAGAACACGGGAAACGTTTAGCTAAAGGGCAGCAGAGAGACTAGCTTTAGTTAGCTAACGTTAACTAACTAGTCCTCCTAAGATGGGCCGTTAGCTGCTAGCACGAGCGTAAACAGTGGACGGGGAGGAAACTGTTATTGAGGCCTTTTACCAACAAACACCGACAAAAACACCGGCAAATTGATCAGAACCGCCAGGAAGCCGATTCACGGCGACCGCAGGGAGAAATACCGGCCGCGCGGGACTGAACGGACGGAAGCGGCCCACCCGCCGTCGTTACACCGTCACGACCGTTACACCGTCAGCTGGCGGAGCGCGGCCCCGGACGGAGCTCCGCGGTCTTACCCGGAGCGGTGCAGAGGACGACGGTCAGCAGCGCCAGAGTCACCGCGGCGAGGGGCGCGTTGCCCGCCGGAGAGAACATCCTCCTCCTTATTTTCTTTATTTTTAAACCCGAAGCGAGGGATAATTGATGAAGAGTCGCCGCGAATGAGCGAGGAGAACCGGACTAACTAACGGCGGTTCACAGACATCGTTCTGCCGCGTAGGAGACGAGCGGTGTCTCATCCGCCGAGATGACACATCGCGGCCGTGACGCCAACCGGGGATGAGGAGGGCGTTGCCTTCACGGACCGCCTGAAACTCCGGCTGGAGCGACCATATCCCTAACCCTTTCAAAATGTTATTTCAAAGAATTCTCTGTTTAACTTTAAAATTGTATTCAATTATGTTAAAGTTATAGTTCATCATTATGGAGTCAATATAGTTACCGTATACTACTATATAACCACTGTTATACATGCTATAATTTATTATGCAATACATTGCTATTAGGGAATTAAATAAATGCAGTAATATCTGAAAATTGTATGTGTACAACTATGTACACATTCTAGGTACTTTACTTTAAGATATACATGCTTTGCTACATTACATTTCAGCTGCACTAAATTTCAGAGATAGAAGATAAACAAGCAATGGTTTTTGTATTGTTTAATGATACAGATACTCATTTCTAAAACATTTGGGAACATTTCACAATGGAGACAGGTTACAAAAAAATATACAGTCCACACCGAAAAAATTTTAGGATTCAGTGAGAGTCAGACACTTGAATCTGGAGGTCTTTGCAGATTTGACATTATAACAGCCTCAACACTCTCCTGCCATCTGGGAGAAAAATAGTACAGGGCCCCCGAGCCTGCTCCACCAGCCTGGGTAACAGCTTGTAACATCAGACATAACCACCCTCTCCACCGCAGAAAGAGTGGTTTGTAAATGTAGCCTCTCCACCCAACACCCGCCATGATAACTTTCTTTACACAAGTGCTCTGTGCCAGACTCTCGCACCGTAAGTTTTTCAAATGACCACATCAAAAAAGCTTCTCCCCAAAAATACAGTGGGCTTCATTTTCAAGCTTTCCCTAAAGAAAGATTTTGAATGCTTAACTATTGCCCGAGTTCTTGGCAGCTAGTTTAAGTAAATCATAATTACGAGCTGCAGTGAATGCACCATGAGAGCACAGCGGTCTACATTAACTCAGTTGTCTCAGTAATTACCGGGAGCTCATACACACAATTACAAACCTCTTTACTTTGATTATTAACACCTTTGACTTTCCGACAGTGACATTTAAAAGTGGGTTCAATGTATCTGGTCAGTTGTCAATAGTTCCATCAAGTTTAATGACCTCACGTTATTTAAGAGCTGTTCCTCCAACTTCAACCAGACGGGAGTACAAACAGTGCATGTTATTTAGTTTGGGTAGATTTGTTTAAAACTTTATTCTGTGTATAATGCATATATGTTTTTAGAATTTGGTTTCTTTCCTCATAGAACAAAAGACTCTAAAGGCATTTAAAGCCTGTATTACAAGTGGCCCTTTCATATTTTAGGCAAGAGAGGAATCTGGAGATCGATCTGGAAAGGTTGTCCCATCGGGACTTTTATTTAGAAAGGTTTTCCATTGCAAATTTCAATGGGTACACTGAATTTCCCACATACCCACTAAACCCTGAGACATGGTATCTGGCCAAAGAGCTTTTAAGTTTCCTATCAGAAAGGAAAGAAAGTGTTTTTTCTGGATTAAGGCCGCCAAAGTTTCTCTCCTTTCCCCAAAGATCAGCTTTGTTTGAATATCCTCCAATTAGCATAAAAAGTGTTTTTCGCATTTTTACTCTTTATACAGAAACAAAAAAAACAACAGCCTAAGTTACAAATAGGACATGGCAAAAAACGTCCGTTCATATTTCATGGTTCACTTGGTTCCAACTGTGAAGCCTTGACCTTTCTACTCAATCCTTTCGTCCGGTCTGCGATTACTCTAAAACATCGAGTCCTTTGACCTTCTTCGAGAACTGACCTATAGGCAGTTGCTCACATCTTGCTCCTTCTCGCTTTAACATCCGCAAAGTCCTTCATCCCACCACGAAAAAAACGTAGAACCTGGGGATTTCTGGGTAAGTGCATGTCCATCTCTTTTAACCCGGTTTCCTTCCCCTACCAGGGCCGTCCTCCCGTTTCTCCGCCCCCCCCCCCCCCGTTTTAAAATTCATCGCGAGGGCATTACTGACGGGGCAAGAACAGCGCGTGTAGCCGGCCGAAGACGTCTCGGAGCGGCGGAAGGCGGGGCTAGAGGCCTATAGACTGCAGGGTTTCTCTCTCGACGGCGGTGAGGTGGCCCGAGAACATGCTGTAACACGGCTGCTGGGCAAACTGCGTCAGGAAGTCCGTCAGGTACGCCTGGGATGAGACAGGTGACACAGTGCGGGTCAGTTACAGCTGGTTCTGGGGTCCTAGCACAATCGGGTATTTGCCGTGTAGTCGAACAAATTGCGCGCTTTAATAATTTCACTCTGAAGCGCTTTATAATTGTACAATCTGAGCGAACACAAAACTTCAAATCAATATTTCATTCTTTTATTAACCTGCAAGGATCAACTAAACTGCTTATGAAACCACTGTAGGAAATGTAGGAACTCTGAGCAGGATGGAGATTTTACATTTAAGTTATTTCCTTCCATATATGTTTATATCACAATAAATCAATATAAAAAGACAAATCCACCTTGAGTTCGAAAATATTCACATGCAACTAAAGCCCTAAGAGTTTGTGTACCTGCAGATCAATCTGATAGATGGGGTCTTTCAAGGCATCCGCATCATCGTCGTCATCATCATCATCCTCATAATAATCATCATCTGTGAGACAGAATCACACCAGGAAACTCAAGTGACCCGAAACAAAAGTTCTACGGTAATTCACTGGGGAAGCATTGGTACCGTATTTCTTGGAAGAGATGAGATCAGAAAGCAGCTGCCCGGCGAGGGCTTCATCCTCCTCCTCTTCATCGTCGTCACCGCCGCCTTCATCTTCGTCCCACATGCCGCTGGAATCTGAGGAGAACGACGGCCGGAAGCTAAAAATGTCGGCTGTGCTATTCTGTAGTTTAGAAATGGATGCATCTCCGCTGGAACCAGCGGCAAAATAGCTGATGCCATTTCCCTCAAAAGTAAGAACAACAAAAAGTATTTGCATTGTTTGTATTCACCTTGACTCCAGTCGGCGGCGTTCGCCCTGCTGGTGTTTGCCTCCACCACAGTCGACAGCTCATTGATGATCAGCTTGAAGATCTTTACGAGCAAAGGAATGTTGGTCCACCTCTCCGGGTCTGTGGAGGAGAAATTTAAAGAGCATGAAGCACCGCAGGTGATCGCTCCCAGCGGCAAACCTCCCGGCAGACTCAACCGTCCCTCCCGTCTGCTGACTTACTCTTGGCGGATTTGGAGCGTGTGCGGATGCCGTCGTCGGGGCTGTAGATCTCCTCTCCCTTCACCACGATGTCCTGGAGGCGTTTGTCGTCAGTGTTGAGGCCGTGCTGCAGCAGCTTACAGAGAGCCACCGTGCTGAAGGAAGAGAAGCAACAAAACTAAAACGAAGAGGACACACATCTGATATGTGGCTGTAAAACATTGTAGTCACCGTCTAAATTGCAGTGTTGTACATATTTGTGTTGCACAAACAACAGAAAAGCTGTTTGAACCCTGCTGTGCCTATCACTACGCCCAGGGGTGGGACGATGATGGACCACTGGACACGGGCCCTCATCCCTGATTCTGTTCACAAGGCATGCTGGAAGCCTACGCTAACAAACACCTTTTATTTCGAGTTTTTAGGCTGCTGGGGCGCGCGCGATGTGATTAAATTGTATATAAACCCGGGCTATAGCTTCAGTTCGTTTGATGGATTTACATTTCAAAATGTATGAAGCAAAATGTCTGACCTGACTTTACCCTCGTACTGTCCGTAGAACAGGTGCTGCCTGCTCATCCACTCAGTCATGACAAACTCCAGGGCGGGCTTCCCTGTCGGGCCGGGCAGACTGCACAAGAACTCCAGCAGAGGCTCCAGCTGGGAGTGAACCAGGTGGGCAAACACCATGATCAGGGACTAAAGAGGGACGAGAGAGCAGGTTAACACACACACACACACACACACACACACACACACACACACACACACACACACACACACACACACACACACACACACACACACACACACACACACACACACACACACACACACACACACACACACACACACACACACACACACACACACACACACACACACACACACACACAGAGTCTGTGAAGTAACCGGCCCCGCCCTCACCTGCATGACACTCAGAGTCTCCGCCTGCTGCATCTTGCTCAGAATCGCCCGGAGGATCTGGTCCAGCTGTTCCCCGAGCTGCGTTCCCGCCCGAGAGATGAGCGTGGACACCAACCTGCCCACGAAGGCGGCCGTGAACTCGGAGGTCCGGGGGTCCAGCAGCTGGTTGACCACCTGCATGACGTACCAGAGGCCGCTGTTCCCCTGCTCGTCCCTCCACTGAGCCACCTGCTCGAGGGCGACGGATACGTACGCCCGCAGACACTCGCCTCCGTTCTGGGGGGGTGGGGGGGGGACGGCCGAGGAAGGAGGAGAATGAGAGGAGAGCGGCTTGCGTCGACACTAGAGACTCTGAATCCGCGCGCTCGTGTCTGGACGAGTCTCGAAAAGCCTGGTCGGGTCTCACCTGCATCACCGTGTTGTCGTCGGTGCGTAAGCTGCACTGGGCCACCACGGGGAACGCTTGGCACACCAGCATCTCCGAGAGGGGGGGTTTGGTGTTTCGGACCACGGTGGTGAGGATGTCGATCGACGTCTGTGGTGCAAACAGATCCTGGGGTTGATCTCTGGGTGCTTTGAGTTCGATCCTGTAACATCATCTGCGACAATGCGACGTGTGCCAGCAGTTACTCACGGCACAGAGTCCCGCGGGGATCTTGTCGGGGGGGGCCTGCATGATGCTGACCAGCGTGGGGATGAGACGCATCTGCATGGGGCCCTGGCAGCCTTCGATTTGTGCCAGCTCCTTAAAGATGTCTTGAGCCAGGGACGCCACGACGGGGTCTGTGGAGGAGAGAGGAGGCGGGGCCTGAGAGAAGACAACCGACCAGCCAAATCTACGCATCTCTCAACTCAAGACGTCCTTCTCTGGAAGGTCTAAACAGGGAATGTAATGCAATCCTGATGATGAATAAGAG